TTTCACGCCATTTGCGCTATTTTTACTTTTTGTTTCACACACTCAACTACTTAGTTGTGCAATTTTCTTAAGCCTCTCAAGCTTGTTGACCTCAACGGCTGGCTGGCACAGAGTCTCGAAGTGCTTACAGCATTTCCGCCATGTGCAGCGTCATAAGTTTTGGTAGAAAACTTGGTCATTATCTTGAGCTTTAATTTAATTAAGTCTTTGCCTTTGGCACGTTTTCACAGTGGAAACTTGGGCGTCATCATGTTGCCCAGCACTGGCTGTTAACGCCTTTATCTTGCCACAGTGGAATGCATAATTAGGGAAATGGCATGACGGCCCAGCGCGCAAAAGTATGCTATGGAGACTTTTACAAAAAAAAAAAAATGGATCAAGCACAGCAAAGCAAAACAAAATGAACTGAAGCGAACCGAAGCAGCACAGCACAGCTCAAGCTGTCAACTGAAAACTTCAGCCAAGTGCAGTTAACTGAGATGCACAGACAACTACATACATAAGTATAACAACAACTGGACAGCTCCTTCAGTCCATTGCCAACTCAATTGATTTGGACGACAGTGTTGTCGCGGCTCAAGGTGAAAAGTGACAATAGTTGCATTTTCTTTGTACTGCGGCTGTTTTTTTATTTTGTTTTCTAACACAGTTTTTTGCCTTTCTTTTTCGGCCATTGTGGCATTGAAATTCAATGGCAAAGTGGCGTGAAGCACAAGTTGAGCAAATGCTCTATCCGGGCTCGAGCTCTCCCTTTGTAGTCAAATTGCCGTATGAATATGCAATGTAAAAAGTTCTTACTTCGTGCCTCAATCACATCCCATTGAAAGGTGAGCGAGCGACCCATTGAAACTCGGCTTGCAAGTCCTTGGCATTTGCTCAGGTATGCAGTTTGTTTGGACTTTGTAACTGCTGATGCATGCCAATTGGTAGGACTTCAAAGCCGGAGCTGGAAGCCGTTGCCTTCCCGATGGCCTTGTACCAACTGTGTTTAGAGTATCTGTAGCACGCGTACAGACATTTCTGCAGTAGATCGAGCATTCATACTTAATAGAGATGCTACTTAGTATGAGTATGTGTTTACACTAAAAACACTTAATACCATGTACGCTGTGTTTGGCCACAACAATATATATATATTTAAGTGCTTAGTTTGTGAAGCTGATATCAGCTTTAATTTCATATAAAAACAAATCAAACATAGTTCTTGTTTCACTCAAAAGAGAACATGGTGGAAACAATGCCAAAAAAATATGCCATTGAGAGAGAAGTTTTCAAGGTCGGGTGGTGGGCTTAGTCGTTGCAAAGTTTTCTTTTTTGATGTTATTGTTAAGAAATTAAAATTAGATCTTCAAAAATAATATTATGAAAAGACAAAAGTTGGTGCAATAATGATATGAAATACATAACCCATACTGTGTGCGCAATATTTGTAAACTTACAAATCAGTGATGGGCTATATTAAAAAGATAAGACCACACGGAAGAACGCCGACTGCGTTTTAGATAGAAATTTTAATAGAAAACACTGCCCTGCAACAGCAACAAAACTAAACGCACTTGAGCGTCATCAGAGCTGCATTGTAACACTAATTTGGCGAACACTTTGAAGTTGTAATGAAAGGGCAGCGGTTAGTCGGATTGTAAACTGAGGATAGCACAGATAACCCTGCAAAAGCGCAGACATGGGTAACATCGAAACACAAAAGACTCACACAAATATGTGTGCCAGTTTGGGGATGATTCATTTTTAAGTTAGTCTGATTTTAAATTATATAAACAATGTTTCGAATTCAAATGAAATGTAAATACAAAAGACTTACAAATCTAGAGCTAAATGCTTTACAAAATTACAAATTACAGTACCAAGTTATCAAGAGTCTTCCAACATTAAACGGTCCTCAACATATTTCGCAATAAAAGCTAGCAAGCCCATAAACAATCCCTTCCCTTACATTCGCGGGATACTTTATGTTTTTGCTCTCTGTATAGGAAAGTTTCACCAATTATTTATGAATATTAAATCGTCCTTGTTCTTGAAGCGTCTGTTCTTGCATAAATTATTTGATCGAAAAAGTTTCACATTAATAGTGCCTCGTCCATACTAAAAAGGACATCAGAAATTTGTTTGATGTTTCGACATCCTGCATCCCCTCTTTGCTCCATCGAACTTTAATATTTCTGTGCCGTTGCCTGCTGCAAATGACGCAGGTAATTTATAGGTAATTACCTATATCAAACGCTTGCCACATGGCATCAGAGTAAGCAACAGCTTTGAGTGAACTTCCAGCAGCTACAAGTCGTTTAGTCGTTTTATGAAAGTACTACCCCACAGCATGGGCTCCCATTCATGGAGCTGTGGTGGTCGCCTTACCTCAAAAAATGCTCTCCATTGTAATCCATCGAAATTACAAGCTCGTCGTGCCTCCTTGGAGGCACACAAACAAATTAATATGCCTGTCACAAAACACTAAGGCCCTAAATAGAGGCAGCAGTTACAGTTTCAGGTTCAGCATCGGCCCACCTGCCAGGCATGCAATTAACTGCTGCCAACTCACACCATCGACGTCGCAAAAGCAGTAACTTAATTGCTCTGTGACAACAGGCTCTGGGTCGCCTGCGACGGGCGGGAATGGGATACGCCCACTACGACCAATGAGAAAAAGTGGAAAGCATAAAACATTAGTGAATAAAGTTAGTTGACGACGGCTGCTGGGGGAATTGAAATAATGTACAAAGGGCAGGGATGGCGTAGCTTCCAGTGCCCTTGCAACCGCTTGTTTTATGTGCCACAGCCGCGAAGTGCCACATAAAAAGTGTGTAAAACGTCTCCGAGCCGCTGAGGGTCCTATACTTGTAGCTTCTTTAAAGCAAAACTAACGAAATGCAATTTATTTGCGCACGCGTGTGTAGCTTCACTGACTGCCGCCTTCCGTTTTCCGCCTGCCTCCACATTGTTTGCCTGCCTGTGGCAGTTGTAAAGCAAACTTGCGCCTTGTCGCTGACATATTTGCCACGCGGTGCAAAAAGACGACGCAAGAAGACGAAGTGGCCGTAAAAATGCTACAAACAGCCGGAAAATAACGCACAGGCACGCACGTTTGCCACTTTCCACTTGCCACTTGCTACTTGCCACTTACCGCATGCCTAAGGCAGGAAGGAACCACAGTCACATCGGCCAAGCAGTTAAAAGCCATTTTAAATAGGCTATGTGACAAAAATTATGGCACCCCACGACGCCAAATAGAAATAAACATAAATATTGCTCTAGGGCTAGACATATAATAAATGTAGCCCGGACAGAAAAATTGTGTAATTTTGCCAAATGAATATTATTTCCAAACATACCTCCCGCGACACTTGGCACACTGCGCTAGAGCGCATATAAAAGCGATCAAATTTATAAAGAAAACTGGCATTTATTTATATGAGTTTGAAAATATTTCTGTAATTTTGCATTTTAATGCTGAAGCTTTTTTAAGAGCTCGAATTAAAACAATGTTTGTTACTTATTTTGTAAAGATGTCATTAAATGATAATAGTTGCTACGCAATCATAATGATAACGAACTTTTTCACCATAAGTGAAAGAAGTTTACTTACTTACTTACTTTGTGTTTTAAATAAAAAAAACTATTAATGCCAAATACTAAAAGCTTTAGTGTTCTTAGTGTATAACAAAAAAAAAACGAAACATATAAATAAATAAATTTCCTTATTTCGTCAATAAACTTTAAGAAAGTAGTGCATGTTTAAAATCAACATAATGTTACATTAATATTATTAAATGAATATTTTCTCAGCTATGGAACTTGTTTCTTGCTTACTACACAGTTATATCTTATTGCTAAAATTTAAACTTTGAAAAGCATTGGGAAAGTTGAAAATTTTTAACTTTTTATCTCGCCCCAACTTTGAAAAAGAATATGATTTGGGAGTGAAATGTGTTATCAATTATTGAAATTTGCGTTCGAATTGCAAAGTTTCTGCCCAATCGATTTTCTGTGGTTCTACTCCACCTTCCTGCATCCTCTCCTACATCCCATTGGCTGTAAAAAAGTTGTAAAAAGTTTTAAAAACCAAAATATATGTGGTACACTGTGCATTGCGAAAAATGAAAGCAAAGCAGAAATGGTTGGGGCAGATGGCAAGCATCGAGTGGTGCCAGCCGGAAAGTATGCTACGCAAAAGTTAAAAATTATGCCAGAGCGCTCGATTAGCCGGAAACTCAGTCACACGCACACACATACACACACACGCGCCAAAACACAAGCATCCATGCTACTAAATGTGTAGGCATGTTTGTACATCGATTAGTATTTACAGCACACCAGCGGCTTAGGTTTAATTGAGCACGGCTCGAGTTTTGGTGGAAGCTGAAGAGCGCTTTAGAGAAAAAAGGTACCAGTATGAGCCAACTCGAGTCGAACGATATGGCATAAATGAAAAGTTATAACACGAGTACATACCTACACACAAACGGGAACACACCTACGCTGTTTGGTTCGCCCATATTGAATATTTTCAAAAGTATTTCGCTTTTGGCGTTGGTGCGTTTAGCCCTTTTTCTTAACCAGCCAGCCTTTTGGAATGCGTTTGCTATGTAATTCAAGTCATTTATGCTCGTCAACATTGTTCGACTCGCATTCAAATGTAGTTGCTGGAATATTTTGTAAAGGTATGCGAAGACTGTTGCCAGGCACTTGTAGGAAACGGGTTAAAAATATTTTATAAATATATAAATGTCATATCCACGAATAAAAAGTGAGATGGGCTAATATGAAAATGTTCTTTGTTATTCAATTTTGGCTTAGTGTTTCAACATACTTCAAAAATGTAAATATTTGAGAAATTCCCAAGTGCCGAAGGTCATAGATTTAATATTTTCTTAGCACTTGAAGGCGACTGTATATTTCAGTTACTCAACAATTTTACATAAACTAGTTAGTAAGATATTCTCGACAGCAGCAATTTGTTTTACAAATTAAATATTTACTTATTTCAGGTTGTTGGCTTGGAGCGTTTGTGTGGAAGTTTAACATTTTCTAGATTAAGTAAGTAAAAGCACATTTTTAATATTTTAACTTCACTAACATTACAATTTAATTTAATTTAATTTAATTTTTATTTTTAATTTTCATATCGTATTGTTTTGTTACTCTCTACACAAATTGCAATGACATTCAAACAAACGATTAATCCATGGTTGATGACCTCGAGCAAGCAAGTAAAATACCACATAAATGCCTTATAAAGGTTACGAAAACTAATCAAATACTTATAATGGAACCTATTTATTTTCTATTCACTGGCAGCACTCCTCCAATTCGCACGCTAATTATTCAATTCAATTATATTATGTTGAATATTAGACCCGCTGTTCTCCCTCATTAGTTAGAACCCCCCTGTTATGTCTAATAAATCACAGTGATGTGTAAAAATATGTTCTGGCTAGCCATTTGTTTGGTTATTTAACACGTCGCTTCATTTACTTCATTTGCCTAATTTGTGTGACCTTGACAAAAATAAATAGACAGTGGTTGTGGCTACCACTGCTAAAGGAACGTCGGCCCAAAAAATTCAAATATAAAATTTATGCATTCTTTTTGTGCAGTGGCGGCAAAATTACCAACGCCTGGCTGCTAAAACAAGCAAATGGAGGACTGCCTGCTCATTGCTCAGCTGGCTTGGCACATTTTTTATTTATTTTTTATTTTTGTAGGCAAACTCGGATAATTTTATTATGACATCACTGCAAAAATGTTTGACTATGAAAAATTGATGGCGTTGGCCAAGTTTACTTTAATTTTCCACAGCTTTGTCGGTTCGTTCCGCTCTCCGGTTCGTTGTCGGTTTTGGCGTCCAGCAATTTATTTAACGCCATTTTCTTTTGGCCAGAACTAAACGTTGTTAGCACGCTGACGCTTCGTAAAATAGATGGCACTTTAATAATAAGCAGAAAAAAGAACGATGAGCTGCACAAAAATGTGTAGAAAAAGTCGCAGCAGGTACTTATGATAAATTGAAAAATAATATTGAGCAGAGCGTTTGGGCGCTCCAGACTTGTCCAAGTTTTTTTCTTTTTACCTTTTTTATTTTGTTTTAAAAAATGCCATGGGATGTGTGTGAGATGTCCGCACAAAAGTTTTAATGGCATTGCCGTGACATTGACTGGCGGCTGGTGAACAAATTTTTTGCAATTGAAAATTGTTACCGACCGACCCTTTGTGGCCCGGCTGGGCGGCCACTTCTTACTTCACCACAATAAACTCGCATGAAAAATGCACGGAGCGACAAGTAAAGTAAAAGAACATGACGGCGACAGGAGACATTGCCGAAAACATGAAAGCTGCTCTGTGCCACAGCATTGTGCGGTATGCCAGAAAATATCAATGACAACTTGCAATTCACCTTGGCAAAGGGTACTGCGAGCTTCGGCCTGCCGTTTGCAACACACAAACGAAAGTGGTTTCACAAAACCCAACACCATTATGGCTGAGTTAACGATGAAATGACCGTTTCTTTTGATAAGGGTTAAAGCACGGGAAGAAAAACCACTAACCCAACTATCTCTGGTTACAATCTATCACAAATGATGCTGTCAAATGGATTTCTTTTTACTCATTACGAAAACTTCTATGTTGGAGTTGGCAGACAAATTTTATTTAAGTATTAAAAAAAATTGTTTTTTAGAATAATATTACGTTAGAATTTCAACTAAAAAGGAGAAAGCCTCATTGCTTGAAAATTGTCACAAGCTGTTTATTATTCCAATGTTTTTCGGTTTTGAAACCTTCAATCTCCAGGAACTCATCTTCTAAGTATTTGGCTTTCGTAATTATTATTAAACAATTATTTGAAGACAGCGTGGTCTAGTACAAAAATTACTTTAATCCCTTAGGTATTCAAAAAAGTACAATTTATTCACCATTAAAGCTAAAAAGAAAGAGTAACAAATCTTCACTACTTTGAATAGACTTTTTTTAGTATTTTCGTTTAAGGTTTTTCCGCTTTACTAGTCTTGAGCGAAATTATTATTTCGAATTTAATTTGGCGCTGTGGCTGCCATCGATATGGGGTTTGTTGGCTTGTAATATGACAGCTGGGTTATTGAAGAGCTCCTAGCTGTGTCTCAGCAGGAAAATGTGCACTTTAGTTTCCGTTCCCTATGCCAGCTGCTCTTTTTTTGTGTTAATATAAAAGAAGCAAGAATTTTTAGATGCACGAACGAAATGCACTCACTGCTATTTTTTGCAGCATACTTTTGTGCGCTCTGTCATTTTCACAGCTACAAGAGGCACACACAGATAGAAACAGACACATGCACACAGCCATAAGAACATATATATAACATACATGTGTGCCAGCTTGAGCCCTTAAGTATTTGTGGCTTCGAGCTTAAATTTTGTGTGCTTTGAAATTTAGTGGCCTGGAGTGATTGGCAAGAGGATTTAAGTCTTCAATTAGAGCGCCTTATTTTATTTAATTGAACATCAGCCCGCATTTAATTAAGGGAATACAACTAATTGGAACAGTGCTTCCTAATTTAACATGATGGTTTAGATACAATCATATACACAAAGAAATTGGGTGAGTTGTGCAAAGCGTTGGTTTTCATAAGTTTATATATGAAATGTACTTGAATTTGGAATCCTTCAATAATATATACAAGTATATATCTAAATATATACATTTATGTAACGATAAATGTGCGTGACAGCATTTTCTTTTGTCACGCACACAGCTTGGACTGCTAACGCCCAACCTCTGAAATATGATATCGTTATTGTATTTGTATACGGACTCATCAAATAAATACAAGTATAATCTGTAAATCATTCGCCTGTCAAAAGGTGTAATAATTATATTTTGCGCAATGTAAGCAATTTTGTTTCTTCATTGTAACGCATGGCAATTGTTGTTGGTTGCTTGGCTATTTATCAGAATGAGGTGCGAAATTGTGTATTTATTATTACTTTTAGCTGCCGCTCTGCCACAAATACAATAATTTATGGCCCAGCTTATGCTGCTAATCAACTCATAACAACAAAAGCAAAAACTGCAGCAACGGCCGAAACAAAAATAGGTGTTTAGGTAATAAACCATCGAGACTAGACGATAAACACACAGATAAGCGCTAATTGTGCCACAAATTGAAAAAATATCCTAAATTGGAAATGAATTGCTATGACAGCACATACAACAACAGAAGCGTAGCAACACAACCAGAACAACCAGCACAACAACGTACAAGTAAACAGGCGAACCCTCATCAACTAACTCCGCCCACAGGACGCACAACAAGTGGCGCCGTTCGCCATTTTGTGTTATGGATAAACGTAATTAATTTGTTGAGTATTTTTGCATTTTAGCCCGGGGAATTGCAAATACAGTATGTAGAATGCAGAACACAAACACAGCAAATAAGTTATATTTACGTTAATTGTATGTATGCAGTTGGCTTGTAAATAATAAACAATATGTTGTGTAATTGAATTGATCTGACATATGTAAATGCATTTGTTGATTGCAACAATAAACTCTTTTCTCTATTTTCTAATATTTTCTACTTGACTAATGAAAATGGAAGTACAAATGTATTATGCGTTTAAGCTAATGGATATTGTTAGTAAGCAACATCTGGGCTCCAAATTAGGATCTAATTAATATGAAGCCGTAAAATATGCTGACTTTGACAAAATGAAGAAAACATTTGAAAACTAACTGATCGATATTGTTATTATTCTGCAAATTATTTGTCTTGCAAAAAGAAAAGGAAAAATTATAATAGTAATCATCAAATCATTGCACCAGCGGCTAAAAAGTTGTCTTTTATTCTTTTTAGATGTTAGGCTTATTGAGAACACTTGTCTCTTAATCAGTACATATGTAGATTCTATAAAACATCAATTTTAATTTCGTTAGATTTAAGATTTTTCAGCTATTAAGCTTATATTATGCAGCTGCTGTTGTTATTTTATTTATTTTATTATTTTATTTTATTTTAATTTTCTACTTTTATACACTTCTCTAGTACGCCCTATGCTTGAATACCTGAAACGTATTGAGCCTGATTACAGATTTTCCTTTCTTTTACTTTCTCCTTAAGTAATGTAATTAGAACAAAGTTTTAAATTTTTAAACTTGTTAGTAATGGCTGGTAATAAAAATCCACCCAACATGTCGGAAGACATTATCGTTTATTTTCTAGAAGCTCTCTTACCGTTTAATGTTGAGATTATAACATGTTGTACAATTTAATTTATGTTGACAGTTCATATTTTCTTTATTTAATAACAATTAGTAAATAGTAGTTCCTTGAATATTCAAGTGCAAAACTTTAAATATAAGATAAATCCATTGCTGACACAGGCGTTTAACGAATACGAGTATGGAACTTATTTTCTTTACCTTATCCTTCTTACAATATGTTTAATATATATACTATACTTACTAGCATGGTTAATGTTTTGGTCAGATATGCTGCGGTTTTGGCTTTCCACACATGAATACACAAATTTTAAATTAAATTTTGAATTTTTTCCATTTTTTATCTAAATTTTTGTAAACGTCTCTAATTTTATATCTCATTCTTCTCAGTCTCCTTTTAATTTCGCTAAAACAAATTAAACAGAGCGTACTGATCTTAATAATGCTGGTAACAATAGACAATAGCCAAGTTATTGCCTGGCTCGAGTGCCATTTAAACAATGGCACAAGAAGAACAACAACAATATAAGTAGGTACTGGCAGGCGGAACTTCATTTAGTTTAGGGCTGAGCTCAGTTTCAAAATGCTTTCAAGTCATGGCATATTTGTGGTTTTTCCGTGGGCTGACAATATTACCTTGACCTGGAATTCATTCGTTCGTTTGTTGTCAACACGGTGTGGCTTTTGTTGCATCAAGCTAAATGTGCAGTCGCCCAAAAGTAGGCAACAATAAAAGCAACAGCAACAGCAACAACAACAATCACTTTGCTTTACTGTGGCTTGGGCTTTGAGCTGTGGCCTCAGGATTCGCATGTCGCACTCTTCCTTTGTTTGCTTGCTTCTC